CAGGGCCACCAGTCACGAGTCGACCGTCTCCAAGGCTCACGCACGCAGGCATGGCCGCCACTCAACGCAACCGGGGGAGAGGGGACACCCGGCCACAGCTCCCTCAGGCCAGGAGCAGTTGTGGGGCACCTGCCTGCCCACCCGCCCTGGGGCACTCAGACACGCACAGCCCTCCGCAGGAAGAGGCTGTCCCCTGACAGGTGGTAGGCGCTCAGGAGTCCCCCGAGGATGCGGATTGTGCTCTCGAAGAGGTTGACATCCACATCCTTCTCAAAGCGCAACCTCTTGGACACCCACTTCCGGGCTTCTTCGAATTCTAGGGTACAAACAGCAAAGGACAAGGAAGCAAATGAGTGGCTGATCTGTGTCCTGGAGTATGTCAATCTCCTGCAGGGTTTCCACGTCACCTTCCATCTCAAAGGGGTAAACCTGGAACTTTCCAACATATGTGGATAAAACAGAGCCAGTTGCGCAACCGCTGTGAACACCAGCGGTTGCCAAAGGCCATGATAGAGAAGACCGAATGAGTGGCTGGCTGGTGGTCTTTAACCTATTAAAAAATTTGGCAAATGTTTAAAATATTCCTTAAGAAGTAACTAAGGCTGGGCGCACTGGCTCACACCTATAATCCCAGCACTTTGGGAGGCTGAGGTGAGGGGACTGCCTGAGCCCACAGGTTTGAGACCAGCCTGGGCAACTTGGCGAGACCTTGTGTCTACAATAAATCAAAAAATTAGTAGTTCCGGCTACTTGGAAGACTGAGGCGGAAAGACTGCCCGAACCCAGCAGGTCGAGGCTGAGGTGGCTGTGAGTGTGCCACTGCACTCCAGCCTGGGCGACAGAACGAGACTCCAATGTGGGGGCAAAAAAAGTAAGGTACAGTGGCTCGTGCCTGTGATTCTGGCACTCTGGGAGGATTACTTGAGCCTCAAAGTTTGAGACCAGCCTGGGCAACATGGTGAGACCTCGTCTCCATAACAAAAACAAAAAAATTAGCTGGGCCTGGCAGTGCACGCCTGTAGTTCCAGCTACTCAGGCAATGAGGCAAGTGGATCGTCAGAGCCCAGGAGGTCAAGGCTGCAGTGAGCTAAGATTGTGCCACTGCACTCCAGCCTGGGTGGTAGAGAGACTCCAACTCAGAAAATACCTAAGTAAAATAAAGAAAAACAAATGTTCCATAAACAACAACTGTAGACACACACTCCCCGCATCCACCAGAGCCGCGTGTCTAGGGAGGCCAGGCCAGGTGGACACAGGCCTGGGTCCTTCAGCACCGCCCACCAGCCCAGCAGACTCAGACTGGGAATGCCCCTGGAAGCCCCCAGAGGCAACCTCCGCTCTCACAGAGGACAGGGACGGCTGTCCGATGTGCTCGGGGCTGGATGCTGGGACAGGCACTGCCACACCAGGCACACCCACTCCGGAGCCCTGGAGCGGACGTCCCGCTCTGCTGGAGAGGGTAGCCGCGACCCTGTGTGTGACCCTCACGCAGGGCGTCGGCCCGGGCAGTCGCATGGAGGACTGGCCCCCAGAGTGACCCCATACCTTTCCTCAGCCCCAAGATCCACATGGTGTCCAGGGCGTCGATGAGCGTGAGGCCCAAGCCAAACCACTCGCTGAAGGACCTGGACACGGGCTTCAGCTCGTCGTGGCCCCAGGCGAACCTGCGGTACCCCTTCCACGCGTGCAGGAAGGCATCGATCACCCCCTGCTGCCGGTCGTTCGGACGTGCTAGGAGAGGAGACACGGTGGTGGGGCCGTGGTCCTGGTGTCAGGTCACTGATGGAGATGCTCTGGTGGGTGCCTCTGTGACCCCTGGGGCATGCACGGAGTAACAGGGCAGGTAGGCAGCGGCAAGCGCAGCGAAGGCTGGACACAGAGGCAGGACCCCTGGGGGGACGGGGCCAGCCAGGGCAAGGCAGACCCTTGGGGGATAAGACCAGCCCAGGAGTGAGGGGAGCCTCGGGGAACAGGGTCAGCCCAAAGCCAGGGGGACCCTTGGGGGAACCTGGCCTGTCCAGGGCAAGGGGGGAAGCTTCAGGGCGATGGGCCAGCCCAGGGCAGGGGGGACCCTCGGGGGAACGCGGCCTGCCCAGGGGCGACAGGGAGACACCGCCTGCCCAAGGGTGAGGGGGACTCTTGGTGGAACGCAGCCTGCCCAGGGGCAAAGGTGACCCTCGGGGAGAGGTGGCTTGTTGTGGGCGGCAGCTGGCAGGGCCAGCACACTTGTGTCATGGGCCTGGGCAGGAATGTTTGCCTCAGGCCTCAGTGGCCTCTGGCCAAATGGGAAAAGGGCAGACCCCCGAGGGCTGCTGGACAGGCCCTGAAGCAGCAGGCAAGGCTACAGGGTCCTAGGTGCTGCCGTGTACAACACGGACTCAGAAGAGCCAGCACTGACAGCGGGGGCTCTATCACGCTCTGCCGGGCTGGCTTCAGGCGGTCACAGAGAAAGTGACACGGTACAGACACGCTGACGTCTATCAGGAGAGCTGCCAGCGGTGACCTCGCTCTTATCTGGGATGTTTTCCTCCCCCATTTGTGAAGAAAACACACAACAGACTCCCACGTGGAGACTCGTGTGTCACGGCCCATCCACAACCTCTCACGTGAGGTCCTGGGCCACTCCTGCTGCTGCCACAGCTTGGTCCATCCGTGTGCAATGCCACAGGGACTGCCACGTGTTCCTCACATGCCGGGGTTGCTCCCTCCAAGGGCAGCATGGCCAGAGCGGAGCCCCACAGGCAGCAGACGGCCCCAGCAGTGACTACCCTAAGCCTTCATGTTCCTTTCTGAAGGCTGGGACTGCGCAGGGACTCCGCGCCGAGGGCCTGTGAGACACGAGGCGGCCAGGCATGTGTGGAGCCTCGCCCCGGCCACCGCCAAGTGAGCCTGCCACGGAGAGACTCTGGAACACAGCAGCATCAGAGCTGCCAGATTCACAGGCCCGGGTGAGTGGACGGGCTGCGTGCCCCGTGCAACCCGGCCCAGGCCCAGAGCAGCAAAATCAGACCTCCCGACACACACGCCCTCTCCTGCAGCCAAGGGCTCAGACACCTGACAACAGGCCACAGAGGGGCCACACGCTGCCAAGGGAGGGGACTGAGGACCCAGACAGCCAGTGCATGCCGAAGGACAAGTTGCACCGCGGCCCGGCAGGGCCAGGTGCCACGGCCCAGACCCCGCGCCCACCCTCAGAATGCAGGCGGCCAACGAGGCACAGGCGGGGCCTCACCTGGTTGGCTCTGCATCCGGGCCGGCGGCACTTCGGGCCTGGTGGGCAAGTCCGCTCTGCGCGAAGGGGCCTCGGTGCCCTGCTCAGGCTCAATCATGGCTCCCCGCCAGCTTTGGGAGAGAAGGATAGTGGTCAGCGGCAGTAGGCGCGGCTCCACATCCCCTGCCCCACCATGCCAAGGCAGGGCCTGAGCCACGGGGCCTGCCGCCCTGCCCTGCAAGGCTGCTGTGTGGGAGGAAAACGGCGGGGGTCCCGAATACCCAGGCCTGGGAGTCGGGATCACGGCGCTGTCCCATGGGAGTGGCCGAAGTCAGAGACTGCAGAGCGGGGGGCCGAGAGAAACTGCACTGTGGCAGGAAGCGGCAGCTGGAGGCTGAGGGCCTCTCTGGCGGAGGACAGAGAACCTGTCAGCTAAACTGGGATGTGAGCAGCCATGAGGTGAACGAGGATGCTGGGATGGATTGCCACACAGAGGGGGCCTGTCTCTAGACACGGGATATACGGCCACTCACAGTCCTAGAGCACAATCACTGGGCTGGAGATCAGGAGTGGGCAGGAGCCTGCCCACAGCCTCCCAGCTGTCACAGGACACACACGTTCTCTTACGGACCATGATGGGCCTGGCTCAGCCAAATGCCTTGGGTTTTTTTGGAGTCAGAGTCTCACTCTGTCACCCAGACTGGAGTGCAGTGGCATGCTCACGGCCACCGCAGCCTCGGCTTGCTGGGCTCAGGCGATCCATCCACCCTAGCCTTCCAAGTAGCTGGAACCACAGGCACGTGCCACCACGTCCAGCTAGCCAAACGTCTTTTGAATCCGTGACAGCTCGTGTCTCAGGAATACAAGCGCAGTACATTTACAAGCTCAGGTCAAAGTGTTCTTTTGCTCTGAAAGTAAAACTGTTCATCTGTACAAATGCCACCAAGAGCTGTGGGGCCACGTTCTCTCAGGGGTACTCCCTCGCCTGCTCTGGCCTGTGCTCCTGAGGCCAGGGTTTCCAATCCCGCTTCCCCAGCTCTCCAGGCTGAGGGAGCCCGTCTCAGCCACTCCTGCTGACAGCCCCCCACCTGGTCCCTGTCCGCTTCGAAAGCCTCAGGAGCAGAGCTCGGGTCTGGCCCCCAACCCTAGCCAGACTCACCGTGGGGAGCAGAGGGCCGGCAGGGAGCCCAGCCCTCAGCTCCAGCACACCAAGTGTGTGCTTGAAACCTCAAATGAGCAGGATGTGAGGCTGACACCCTCAGCATCGAGGCTCCCTGGGATCCTACAACCTGGACAGCCCCCTGGGAGCCTGGGCACAGCAGCAACCCCCTTCGCTCTGCTTTCTGCCCAGCCAGAGGGGCTCGGGAAAGGGGGCGGCCCAGGCAGCCAGCCGTGCACCTCCATGGCTGCCTGCTGCCAGAGGGAAAGGCCCAAGCCTCGTCCCCGTCCCCAGGCCGTCCCCTCCATGCCCCGAGCCACACTCACAACCTTCACACACGTGACATGTGGCCTTGTTCCAACACCACTGCCGCTCACAAGGAGCGGTCCTTGACCCAACTCGCTCAGACCTCTAGTTCTTAACACTTCATTCTGTAACCTGAGTTTAACAAAGAGAGACTACAGAGCACGTCTTGTCTGTTGCAAATGGAAAGCAGGCTTTAGACTGATGCTGGTTCTCGCCGTCTTGTTTTTGGAGCACAACAGCCTCCTTGCAGAGCGGCCGCCCACCCAGACCGCCCCTGCTGCTCCGTACCTGATGCCCGTCCTCTGTGCCTCCTCCTCCTGGGCATTGTCGGGGACTTCCTCCCTTTGCTCAGCATCATCCTGTGTCCCATCCTTCAAGTCCTTCCCAGGGGCTCTGATCTGCAGGTGGGGCGGTTCCCAGCGGACAGGCTTTTGAGGCTTCTACGCAAAACCCAGAGGACTCGTGAAAACCACGCAACCACCTCCGAGCTGCTCCTCCTGCCACACCTCACACTCGCCCCTCAGACGCAGACCCACTTCCCCCGGGGCTATGGAGGCTGGCCATACAGAGCTCGCCCTCTCGACACTGGTTTCCATGCGAAACACCACCTGCAGACTTGGGAGATGCGCTCCGTGGAGCGGCTTGTGAGCACAGCCCCAGATGAAGGGGCTGAACCCTGCTGGAGTATTTCCAGACTGTCACAGATCCTAAGAGCAAACGAGAGAAGGCTGGAACAGAGACCCTGGGGGCTCCAGGCCGCTCCCGGGCCTCCGACTCTTCACGCCCACAACAGAGAGCAAGGGCTCCAATGACAGAACCCAGCGTCCCCGTGCCCCACCAGGCGGACACGGGCCCAGCCCTGAGCTGTGCACTTCACGCGCGTAGACAAGGTCCCATCCTCCTCCTCCCATGAGACAGGGCCAAGGAGGAGCAACTCTGAGGGACCATTTACTCCACGACAAGCCTCCCATGTCTCTGAGAGCCTGACTTCTTCCCTCCGATGGCCGCCGTGTTCCGTGGCAACCCAACCACCGTTTTGTGCCACTGTTCCCCAACAGAAGTTGAAAGGATGCACAGTTACTAAAAATTAGGCAGCAATTTCAACCCTTCGCACTCGGAGAAATCTCGAGTTTCACCTACCAGCCAACAGACTGTACTCCTTTTACAAAATAGTGAAAAACACATCACTTCATGTTAAATTGTATAGCACTGGAACCAATTACTGTAATGGATTTGGTTTATAATGGAATTTTGGACACCGAGGAACTTTTGACCAAAAAAGATCAAAATTTGATATCTCATATTTTCCTAATGCGTGGTAACATGTGAAACAGCCACCGACATGCACTGCTGGCTCACAGACACATATTGTGCCACAGGACTTGTTGGACTTCTTCCACCTGGTGTTCTTCTATTCAAGCAGACCAATGCAGCCTCGTTTTCTTCCTCCCAAACATACATGTCCTTGTATTTCTTTTAGTTGGAGTCTCACTCCGCCGCCCAGGCTGGAGCGCAGTGGCACACGCACGGCCACCTCAGCCTTCCAAGTAGCCAGAACTAGGGGTGCGCGCTACCATGCCCGGCTCATTTCTGATTTACTAGAGACGGGGTCTCACCAAGTTACCCAGGCTGGTTTCAAACCTGTGGGCTCAGGCAATCCTCTCACTTAGGCCTTTCAAAGTGCTAGGATTACAGGCTTGAGCCACCGAGCCTGGCCTCTTCCTCCCAATTAATGATATGTAATTTCTTGTCCAGTCTACTGTTCAAAGATGTGGAAGGACACACTCGTGATTCCTGGAAACCACTTCTCAACCGATCGATCAAATCTCAGTATATATTCCATCCCTTTATTTGCTTTTTTGTGCAATTTGAATGAGCCGGGCGTGGTAGCGCACAACTGTAGTTCAGCTACTTGGAAAGCTGAGGTGAGAGGATCGCCTGAGCCCAGGAGGTCGAGGCTGCGGTGGCCGTGAGTGTGCCACTGCACTCCGGTCTGGGCAACAGAGTGAGACCCTGACTAAAAAAAAAAAAAAAAAAAGTCTGACTGGTACCCTATGATCTAAAGGGATGTTCATCATATGTCACAAGGGAAGAAAGCGAGCAGTGCAGCAGAGGACGGGTGAGTCCTGCCTTTTTTTTTTGAGTTGGAGTCTTACTCTGTCGCCCAGAGGCGTGCAGTGGCCGCTCCCGGCCACTGCAGCCTCGACCTGCTGGGTTCCGGCGATCCTTCTACCTCAGCCTTCCAAGTAGCTGGAACTACAGGCGTGCGCTTACCACGCCCAGCTGATTTTTGATTTATTGTAGAGATGAGGTCTTGTCAAGTTGCCCAGGCGGGTCTCGGACCCGTGGGCTCAGGCAATCCACTCACCTTGGCCTCCCAAAGTGCTGGGATTACAGGCTGAGCCACCGAGCCCGGCCCAAGTCCTGCCTTTATTATGCACAGCTCCAAGACCCTTCACAGGCACCGTATGGGCAGTCAGGAAAGACTTGCGAGGCTGTGGCCAGGTCTGCCTTGCAGGCCTGCGCTCAGGTGGAGGTGGTGCCTGAAACTGCTTGTTAGATAGCTCCACTTGTCTCAATGAGCACAGAGTCATCTTGCAAATACAAGGCAACTTTATTAGAAGAACAATGAAGCAGTGATATCCTATTACATGCATTTTTATACTTGTCTGCAAGTCATTCATTATGAAGGATACCAAGGAGAAAAGCCTCTGCTGAAATGTGCCTATGTGTAAAATTACCAGCGCTAACATGCCTTCAAAAAAGGGGTTCACCAACCTATCCCCCCAGCAGCACGGAAAGCCAATTTGTCAGTTTGCTGCTCTGCATAGATTACTGACCATCTTCTTTCAAGTCTGCTGATGGGCTAAAAAAATAATTAAAAGTTTAAACTGTGCTGTCCACAAAAGACTCGCTTTAAATCCAAAACACAAGTTGAAAATAAAAGGATAGAAACAAGATATTCCATGCAAACAGTAACCAAAAGAGAGAAGGGTGGCTCCACCAACATTAGACAAAATGTACTTCGAATCCGAAAGGCTCCCAGAGACAAGGGCAGTACCTGTTGACAGGTCAGCTCACCCAATAGATACAGTTATGACAAACACAAACACGTCCAGCAACAGACCCCCAGATATCTAACACAAAGTGACAGAACTGGAAGAAGACAGACAGTTCTGAGCGACAGCTGAAGATGTCAATGCCCTGTGCCAACAACGGACACAAAGGTGGACGGAAGTCAAGGGAGCAGAGGCCGCGAGTTGCACAAGAGACCAGCTGTACCTAATGGCCAGGTCAGAACACTCCACCCAGCAAGAGAACACATGGCCATCTTCGGTGCGCAAGTTCCCTCTCCCGTGTGGTTACAGCTGCCAGTCCTTCCCTCTGTAGCTTCTCAGCTTCGTGTCCTCCTCCACCAGGGCTGCTAAGTGCTGTCCCAGTGTCTCCCAATACACGGTCCTAGTTTCTTACAGCCTTGCATGCTAAATGGCAGGGACACGTTCTGAGAAAGGCGTCACAAGGTAATTTCAATATTGTGCAGTCATCACACTTTCTTAAGCCTGGGGGGCACCGCCTACTGCATACTGAGGCTACAAACCTGTGCCGCATGACTGTACTGAATACCACAGGCACCCGTAACACTGTGGTTGTTTGTGGTCTAAATACACAGTGAAAATACAGCATACAAGATGAAAAAGGTACACCATGGACGGAGTTTGTAGAATTGGGCGATGTGACAAGGGACGAGCAGTGGGTGGATGTGATGGCCCAGGACATGGCATCGCTGTGCACTACTGTGGACTTCACTAACACTACACTTAGCCACACTAAGCTTCATTCACTGCAGAGATGAGGTCTTGCCAAGTGGCCTAGGTGGGTCTCGAACCCCTGGGCTCAGGCAATCCTCTCGCCTCGGCCCCCCAAAGTGCTGGGATTATGGCGTGAGCCACCACACTGAGCCTTAGTTTTTACACTTGTTTGTTAAAAACGAAGACACAAACACATGTCTTTGCTGGGGCCTGCAAAGGACCATCAATGCCCTGTCTTCCACTTCCACGTCTTGCCCCACTGGAAGGTCTTCGGGGCAGTCACACGCATGGACTCGCCATCCCCTGTGATAACAACGCGTGCTTCCGGACACCTCCTGAAGGACCTGCCTGAGGCTGTTTCACAGCCAACTTTCTCACTAAGCAGGAGCACGCTCCAAAATAATACTTAGTACAGTAAGGCATAAATCGGTGACAGCCTATTCCATCAAGCACCACACACTAGACATGACTGCGTGTGCTAGACTCTTGTATGGCTGGCAGCACAATGGGTCTGGTGGTCCACAGACACGTGGGAAGCGCCCAGTGCTACGACGGCCACTTCGCTAAGTGACAGGAATGTTTCAGCCCCATTATAATCTCAAGGGACACCCCCACAGATGGGTTCACTGTTGACTGAAACATCATTCCACGGCACATGACCGTACATGGCTCTCTGTGGGGCTTACTTTTGGCTTGCTGGATGGAACAGATCTACCTTCATTTTTCCCACAGATGGCCAGCTGTCCCAAGGTCATTCACTGAAGAGTCTACCCTTGACCATCACTCGAAGTGTCTCACATGAAGCGCTCCTGTAAGTTCCTTCTCTCTTTCTGGACTCTAATTCAGGTCCATCATGGACTCGCCTGGTCTTTCTGTTTCCCTTGGTCTCTCAGCCACTGGACTCTCCACTTCCCTGCTACTCAGTCCAGCACGGAGGGTCAGAAGGAGCTCCTGGGATTATATCACTGAGACTGCCCAACCTCAAATTACCCTCATGGGGCACGTGGCAATACAATGGGTACCCGGCCCATGCCAGGGGGAGACAGTGCCAGTTAGAAGCCCAAACTCCACCTGCATGCAGCCTACTTATGCAGAAAATTCTCACTTATACCACAAACTCTAAAATAAAATTTAAATAAAATCATCACGAGTTTAATAATCACAGTTTTATGATCCTGTAGGGAAATTCATCTGAGATTTACCCCCAAATATTCTTTTCCATATGAATTTTAGAATCTTCTTCTCAAACTTCTTTTAAAAACAGAAGGTCCCGTGGGTTCGTGACCCACCTGGGCAACTTGGTGAGACCTCATCTCTACAATAAATCAAAAAACTAGCCGGGTGTGGTAGCATGTGCCTGTAGTTCCAGGTACTCGGAAGGCTGAGGTGGAAGGATCGCCGGAGCCCGGCAGGTTGAGGCTGCGGTGGCCGGGAGCGGCCGCTGCACTCCAGTCTGGCCGACAGAGTGAGACTCCAACTCAAAAAACAAAACAAAAAAAACAGAAGGCAAAATTTTGATGGGAATTCAATGGATTTAAAGGTTAATTTAGGGAGAATTTAAATCTTTACAGCAGAAGAAGACAGTGTCTAATTACTCAGGTCTTTTTAAAAGTCTCTGGCTTCTGTAGTTTTATTCATACCGATCTTGTACATCCTAATGTCAGGATTACTCCTATGAACTCATTAATATTCTTCTCTTGCTATTGCGATAGAGATCTCTTTGCAATAGTATTTTCTTTTCTTTTTCCTTTGTAGTTGGAGTCTTACTCTGTCACCCAGGCTGGAGCATAGGGACACACTCATGGACACTGCAGTCTTGATTGGCTGGGCTCAGGCAATCCTTCCACCTCAGCCTTCCCAGTAGCTGGAACTACAGGAGCATACTACCATGCCCAACTTATTTTTTTATTTATTGTAGAGACAAGGTCTCACCAAGTTGCCCAGGCTGGTCTCGAACCCCTGAGCTAAGGCAATCCTCTCGCCTCGGCCTTCCAAAGTGCTGGGATGACAGGCTTGAGCCACCGAGCCTGGCTTCAATAGTATTTTCTAATTCGTTATTACTGGCATATAGCAGAGTTCTCTGAAACTCTAATCTGTAAGCCTGATGGAGTCATAAGCAGCATAACTCATAAAACATTCAAACATACAATACAGGAAAACATTAAACTCACAGGATACTCAAAGGACATGGACACTCCACAGAATGGGACAGCACGGGGGGGGGTTATTCATTGCCTTGAAAGCAGCCAAACCTTTCTTTTTTTCTTTCTTCTTTTTGACTTTCAGAGACATGGTCTCACTGTGACCTAGGCTGGAGTACAGCAGTGCTTCACTGCAGCCTCAAGCTCCTGCCCTTATGCAATCCTTCTGCCTCAGCCTCCCAAATAGCTGAGACTATCCATGCCACCACACCTAGCTAATTATCATTTTTTTTGTAGACATGGGCTCTCGCTATGTTGCCCAGGCTGGTCTGGAACTCCTGGGCTCAAGCAATCCTCTTGCCTCAGCCTCCCAAAGTGCTAGGATCACAGGTGTGAACTACCACACCTGACCTGAAAATGGCCAACTTTTACAAGAGAAAAACAAATGTCCATGAAAAGCAGACACCAGGCTGGGCACAGTGGCTCAAGTCTGTAATCCCAGCACTTTGGGAGACCGAGGCAGGAGGAATGCCTCAGATCAGGGGTTCGAGACCAGCCTGGGCAACTTGGCGAGACCTCATCTCTACAAGAAGAAGAAAAAAAAATAGGCAGGCAGGTCGTGCCTGTAGTTCCAGCTATTTGGAAGGCTGAGGCAGAAGGATTCCCTGAACCCAGCAGGTCAAGGCTGTGGTGGCTGTAAGCATGCCACTGCACTCCAGCCTGAGCAACAGAATGAGACTCCAACTCAAAAAAAAAGAAAAAAAGAAAAGGAAAACAGACACCATTTTTTGTTTGTTTTTTACTTTTTATTTTTTATTTCTGAGTCGAAGTCTCACTCTGTTGTCCAGGTTGAAGTACAGTGGCATGATCGTAGCTCACTATGGCCTCGACCTCCCGGGCTGAGGTGATCCTTTGACCTCAGCTTCCCAAGTAGCTGGGACTATAGGCACAGGCCACCAAACCTGGCTAATTTTAAAAACTTTTTGTAAAGATGATGTCTTGCTGTGTTGCTCAGGCTGGTCTCGAACTCCTGGGCTCAAGCAATCCTCCCTCCTTGGCCTCCCAGAGTGCTGGGATTACACAGGTGTGAGCCGCCATGCCCGGCCTAGATACGTTTTGACCGTCACATCAGAAACATTTCCAACATGAAAACACCAAATGCTGCCAGGATACCAACTGATTGCTACTCTCAGGCACTGCAGGGAGGCAAATTCTAGAACAATTTTAGGTGTGACACAGATCCTAAGAGTTTAAAACGTCGCAACCTTTAACTGAATAATGGTTTATGTACAAAAGATGTAACTGGAACATTATGTATACGTGAAGAACGAATGCTCAATAAATACTGCAGCAACTTGTATTCATACAATGGAAAACAGCTATACAAATGTGTATGAAAGGGAACATTCTGTAATGTGCACAGAAAAACAGGATGCAAATTCAGATTCTGGTCCTCAATTATGAACACGTGTGTATTCTAATGAAACTACTAAAATAAATACACCAAATATTTCAAAAGCTCCCCTTTGTGGAAGAATAACAGGTAGCACTTTTTCCCTTATATACCTTTCTTTTTTTTTGAGTTGGAGTTTCCCTCCATCTCTCAGGCCGGAGTGCAGTAGCATGCTCATGGCCACCCCAGCATCAACCTGTTGGGCCTCAGGCGATCCTTCCGCCTCAGTCTACCTTGTAGCCAGAACTACAGGCACGTGCTACCACACTCAGCTAATTTTTTGATTTACTGTAGAGAAGAGGTCTTGCTAAGTTGCCCAGGCTGTTCTCGAACCTGTGGGCTTAGGCAATCCCCTCAACTCAGCCTCCCAAAGCGCTGGGAATACAGGCTTGAGCTACCACGCCCGGCCTATATACTTTTCAAAAGGTCCCGTTTTCTCTCCTCAACACACATAACATTTGAAGCAGTCTAAGAAGTTAAAATGATACCAAAAAAGGGTCTGGACAAAATAACGCCTCACTCTGGACAAGAGCAAGAGACTGAGCAGGAGAGGAGGTGCAGGCAGTATCCGGAAGGGCAGTCCCAAGTCCACACAGGAGAAGGACAGAATATTCATCACGCACTGCCCCAGCTGCTCCTGGACGCCAGACACTGGCTTACGAGAGTACATGAGAAGCTTATAAGAGAGAGGTGGAAACACATCTTTCAACGGGAAAAAAATGCCATGATCTGTTTTCATGTAATTACGAGACTCCATATGCAAAACAGAGACCAAAGAAAGGGAAGGAAACATCTATTAGCTTTAAAGAAAATTTGGTTTTTATAAACAGACCCTGGTCCAAGTCAGAACTCACATCTGACCAGGGTGGGATGGTGGCCCCATAATTGTTCAAGGACAGGATCCTCGGACCAGGCACAGCTCCTTCCAGGGCAGTTCCTGACCCCACACTCTGCCCGTGACATTACTCTCGTAGCAGCTGTGTGTCTACAAAATACCACCTTTCCCAGAGAAGGCCGTGGCGTACCTTCTGCTTCTGCAACGGCTGCTCTCCACTGAGCTGATGGCAGTTTCTGAGACACAACTTATGAACACACGATTCCCACAGTGTGAAGGCGGCACAGCTCACGAGGGCAACACTCCCTTCTCCCAGATCCCTGGGCAGGGTCCGGTTCCACCCACTCCCTCCCCACAGGAGCCATCTGGGGTCAGCAACCACCCCTAAGGCCGTGGTTAGAAAGCACTTTCTGTCATGGCCCTGCAGGGAAGTGAAACCTCCACCTGGCCCTGAAGACTCGAGGTGCTACTGCAACTCCTAGACACAGTCTCGGCCCTGTCAGCAGCAGAAACCCACACCCAAGGGCCTCTACAGGTCCCGGGAGCCAATTCGGTCGGTGCCAACCCTGGAACCCCAACAGCACTCACATGCCGGCCCCTCCTTCCTGAAGGCCTCTACTGACGGCATTGTTTCCTGACCCCCTGTAGTCTCCACTGCCCCATCATCCTCTCCCGCTGCAAGCTTCTCAGCCTGGGGCACCCCAGGCCTCTGCCCAGTCCCTTCTTCCATCCCATCCTAACAGAAAACGCACAACGCTTGTGCCTGGAAACTCCTGAGACCTGTCTCCCCTGGGAGACCTCAACACCACCCACTGACACCTCCCAGGGATCTCACACTCGACCAATCTGAAACGGAGCGCCTCAGTGTCCCCAGACTGGTCTGCTCGGCCTCAGACGGCCCCTCCACCCAGGTCACCTTCCTCCTGCACACTGCCCAGTTCTATGGAGCTTTTCTCCAACCACACGGCGTCCCCCAGCCCAGCAGCCCCCACTCCCACTCCCCGCCTCCCGCCCTCCACCGTCTCTGCCCAGCGGCCAGTCCAGTTTCCACAGCATACATCTCAGACGAGCTGGCAGCACTGAGCCACCCTGCCCACACCCCTCCAGGACCTGCAGGACCCTGGCGGGGCTAATCCAAGCTTCACTTGCTCTCCCAGCCCTGGGAACTTCACATCCCTTTGCAGGCCGGTGTCCTCCTTCCTTGGCTGTCTCACTTGGGCTCAAGCCTGGCTCTGCCCCCCCTGCCTGGTGCCAGCGGCTTCTCAGCCTTCAGAAGGCTCCCCTGGTACTACATCCTCAGAGAGGCTGCTCGCACCCTCAGGACCAGCCCTGCCATCATTCCGCTGTCCCGTTCTCTTCCACACAGGATGCCACCACATGCCACCTACCCCTCCCTGTTTGGTGCTGGCTTCTCAACAGCCTCTGCTGCCGGCCAGTGGCCTCCGAGAGAAGGGACTGGTCTGCTTTATTCACCACTGCGCAGCCAGCAATTAAGATGGGAACTGGCCCATGGCCGGTGTTCAAAGAGAACGAAGGACTGAACACACCCAGTTCCCCCAAGCATCACCCAGCCAGCCCAGAAGGCGTGCCTGTGAGGCTGCGCACGGGACAAGTGGCGAGGAAGACAACTCCTCATGGTCTGCTGGAAACAGTATTTGCTACTTGAGATGTTTCCGGAACAGACCCCAGCTGTGACTCCACACAATTCCCTGACATACCTTAGACAAAACCTCCAGGGTGTCTTGAGGGTTGGCATCTGCCTTCTGAGGAGCTGGTAAGACGGGTGGGTTTGCTGGCTTCAGCCCAGGGATTTCTGGCCTCAGCCTCTCCTCTTCTGCTGACCTGATATTCAGAGCTGAACAAAAGATCAATTTCATCCCAAATACGCCACAGAGCCCAGAAGAGATTTAACCTGCTTAATGAACACACCTGGCATGCCTTATCTACCATAGAACGCCATCATGAGACCTGACAGTCACTGCCGTGAATTCACAAACGGCCGAGACAGCAGTCCTTTCCAGAGCACTAGGCAGCTCGTGTTCTTATCTACAACACACAACCCCAACTAGTTCACCTTAGTACTTTCCATTCTGGAAAGAACGAGATGGTGGAGACAGGCAACTTATCTGAGCAACTGCAGGAGCTCTCTAGCTTTTCCCCTGAAAGAAGCAATCTTAGAGAAATGCAGGAGAGCTGGATACGATGGCTTACGCCTGTGCTGGGAGGCAGAAGCAAGAGAAGTGCCAGAGCCCAGGGGTTCGAGATCAGCCTGGATAATTTGGCAAGACCTCATCTCTGCAATAAATCAAAAAATTAGCTGGGCGTGGTGGCACCTGCCTGTGATTCCAGCTACTTGGAAGGCTGAGGTGGAAGGATCGCCTGAGCCCAGCAGGTCAAGGCTGTGGTGGCCATGAGTGTGCCACTGCACTCCAGCCTGGGCGACGGAGTGAGACACACACACAAATGCAGAAGAGAGTCCTGCATCCTCACCAGAACTTTCACAAATGCTACAAAGTCAGTGTGACTATTCAGGCGAAGCATTCAGTTCAAGCTGATGACCTGACTGACTGCACGAAAGAGAAAGAGGGAGGGAGAGAAAGAGGAAGGAAGGAGGAGACGGGGGGAGGGGCTGGGGATATCAGTACTTACACCAGAACCGTGAAAGCAGTCAGACAGCCTCAAATTAACAACTACGTCCTAGCTAGTTGGTTAAACAGAGCTCTACCTTTCTCTTCCTTCCTTGCCAATCCATTGCCATATGTGCCTCCCGGAACTCTCAGGTAGAATGCAGGATTGCTTCTGCCCAATCAGCCCTCAACCCAGACGTCACTGTCAGCTAGCTGCTTCCGATACCTTTCCAAGGGTCAGCCAAGTTGATGTAAGACAGGAGTCCACAGAGAATCAGAAAGGCCAGGAGGAAGAGAATCACGTTCCGCTGCAATCTTGACAGCTGCTTCCATTTCTAAGGGAGGAACAGAAAACGCCGTTCCCTCCTGAAAAGACGACACGTGAAAGTCTTCGGTTGTCACAGACTCAGTGAGGACAATGAGGGATTCAGAAGGATCCAGTGTTCTGGTGTGTTTGTTTCGGGTGGGGAAACAATCCCTCTCAGCAGGGACGATGCGGCTGGGACAAAGCTACAGATGCCACAACCTACTAGTCCCGGTGAGACGAGAATAAAAGCAGACGTAGAAACATCTCCGTCCGGTCTCGCGGTGCTGTGCTGCAGGCACCCGACCCGGCCGGGCACATGCCCTGTCCGGGAGGTGGGCGTCACTGCCGTCAGCCCACGGCCACCACGAACACACCAGCAGCCAGCCGAGTGGGGCTCGTGACCCACTGCCTGAGAGGAACCCACACCACGGGAACTTCAGGTTTCCGCTCCAAGAGGGACCGGCGCCCGGGTCGGGGCGGCGCAGAAGCGGGAACGAACCCCAGGCCGTCCTCCCCCGACGGCCCGCAGGCCTCGGGCGGCTCGGGCGCGGC